CATGTTTACCAACTTGAAAGTCACAGCGATTCACTCCTCCCTTTACCCCAGCATTTTCTTTTCCCCTTCTCTGATACCTTTGAACTTCACTGCCTATGTGAAAGATTGCACGCAAGGGACATCAAGCAAGTGCCAAGGCTGGGAAGACAATGACCTCACCTTGAAAATGTTAGCAACATGTTGCTTTACAATCTTCCATCTTCAGGACAGCTTCCCCTGGGTGACAGACTGTTCCAGACCCCATTTATGCAGATGTTCGTGGAGCAAATCAACTGCTGCCAAGGTCACAGAGGAGACCAGGCTGGGGCAGCCACAGGCATGGGTTGTCACCATAATGGAGAAAGAAGCCTTCAAACTCCATTCACTGCCCTCTAAGTGGTCTCAAAAAGGGAGACTTGTCTTTCCACTATAAATAGGGTACAAACTCAAAAAGTAGAATTTGTTGCCCTCTAGGTCCAAAGACACTATCTTGCCACAGGGATGATAGTACAGAGGAGTCTATTTTTGCACAGCACGTAGCCAGGCCCCAGTGGTGATGACTCTGGGCAGGTCAGTATCAAACAGTTCAGCTTCATTTCGATGAATTCAAGAGATACTGAAACAAATCAATACCCAAGGGTAAACTGTGGCCATCTCTCACCTCCACACAAATGGACCACAGATGGCACTGGATAGGTTCTTCATTAGGCTTGTAGAGAATAATGGTGGTTGATGGAGAGTGTAAGTTCTACATTTCTCACTGTACTGTGCAGTTAGAGAAGTGTTGTAAAATCAGAGGCTGGAGGGATGGCATTTCATCGGAAAGCTACCCAAGCAGAGCTATCACTAAACATAGTAGTGGACTTCCAAGAGAAAAAAGGACTGCAGACAAACCAGCTGGAGAAACCAGGAGCAGAAAAAGGACAATCAAACCAAGCCTAACCCCCTTTAAACTGCCATTTTACCTACAATAAAAGGCTCTCTGGATACAGAGAGCTGCGACACAACAGCTGTTGGAAGTGCCACTGGAGGAACATTGCTACCCCCAAACCTTATTATTTTATTCAGATGGCATCTCCAGCATAGGACTGCAATGCTTCCCAGTGCACACAAACATGTTTTCCAAGAGCACGGGTATCTCCAGGTGTGCTGACATGTGTTTTCCTTTCAGTGTGTGACAGCTAAAACCTTTGGTGAGCAGAGACTATTGGGAACAGCAAGACCACAGGCTAGAAGCTCAGCTCATGCAGCTGCTCAAAGACAGGGAGAATATCTTTGCTGCCCTTTGAAAAAGGGAGAGACTATGTAGAGAGCACAGGGGCTATGGCATATCTGCACCATGCACAGACAGCTCCTGCTTTCAGCCAAACCTTGGGAAAAAAACCAAACCAGCCAAACAAATATTCCTATATTTCCGGGAGCAGCAGCCACTCCATTTTTCTGCCATGTACTGGCTCCATAGCAGGGGATAAATGCCAGGATTGTACACGGCTGTCCAAGCACCCCAACAGCTGAGACACTTGTCTTCATGCAGGAGGCCCATGGCCAAACTCTTTCTGCTAATTCATTCCAGTATCAGCCAGGAAAGAGCTTTCTCTGCACCATCCCCCTGTGTTATTTGCTGAATAAAACTCTTTCTCATTAACAGGCCAAAGCCCAAGAAATGGCCACTGGAACAAACAAGGTTCTGTGCAGATATAAATCCCCACCTCACCACCAGGGAATTAAAGCACAGAATTAGGCTGTAGCTGTTCCCTTTCAGCACAATGAATGCTTAAGCAGGTTACAGCTTTGCATTGCAGACATCTTCTGGGGAGAAGAAAGAATGACTTCTTTACCAGCCCGACTCACTTGCTCTCAGGGAAACAAGCCTAGAGATTACCTGTTGACAAAACAGTTAAGAATGATTACTGCATGTCAGTGTGTTTGAAGCATTAATGTCAAGGATTGCTGAAGTGCCAGTATTTCTTCTGCCTAGTGTTTTCCCATCAGGGATGTTTGTGATGTGCAGAAGGGCTAACATGGCTACCATGGGAGATGTCAGCTAACAGGACAACCTTCTCACTGCTGCTGTGGCAAAAATTCATACAGGTCCCTGAGAAAGAAAGATTCTAATTTTCCACACAGGAAAATCTGTCCTTCAGAGACTTACATCAAGTTTGTTAGGCACTGCAAGAAAAACAGTTATCTGGATAGAAAAAGAAAGTCACTTACTGCTGGACTTGCTATCTGAACTGCTCAACAAAGCTGAAGATTTACCCTGTAATTCTTAAACTTGGCACTTTGCTACTCAAGACAAGCAGCAGCTGATGCACTCGAGGCAGACATGATTGGTGCTGTTTTGCAAGAAGGTGGGATGCTGGAACTCTTGGAGATTTTGATTCTGTTGAAGCCCATGGGCTGATTACAGGCTATACAGTGGCAAAGTGAGCTTCCTCCTCCTGAGATGTTTATAGACTCTGAGGGGAACCAGGGAGCAAAGCAGAGCCCTTTCACTGTTACAGGTCATCCTATATGTTAGATCCTGGATTGCTCCAGACCATGAAAAACTTAAACCATACTGAACTGAGGTACAGAACAACTGCAGACAGGGCTAACCCTGAGATGAAGCTTTGGATGTGGTGGTGAAAATTCAGAAAGAACATAGGCTGTACACAAACCCAAAAGATACGGGGGTTGTGGTAGGAGAGTTAGCAGTGCACACAGTTCTTGCCAGCACATCATCGCTTCCTAGGAAAAAGCACAGAAAAGGGGATGAAGCTGCCAGCTCTGTGACGCTACTACCCAGGTTGAGTTTTGCACCTGCCTTCCATGCTATGCTGTAGCAGAGGATGGCCTTAGCATGTTCCCTCCTTTCCCTGCATTGTCTGGAAGATGACCTTTTCTCCTGCAAAGCCCTGCTTTAACACACCAAATACACACAGTGTATTTGAAAAAACAGGGATATTATATGCTGCCAAAACCATGGCCCAACGGAAGGTACATGAGCACTACGACTATCAGCAGTAAGTTCAGGTGCCAGTGAGAGCCAAGGTCCAAGCAGAGGGGACTGCTGCTTTGAAGTGCAGCAGCACTTCCTGGTTCACAGAGATAACTTGGGCACCAGTGGGAAATGCAGGTCCTTGAGGACACTGGTCATGCTAGATTTGGGATTTGCTACAAGCACAGACAGGGGTGCACAGTGCAACATCCCCCACCATGGAAGGGCAAGACCACTGCCTGAGCTCACCTTTGTTTCAAGCTGGAATAATTTGCAGAGAGAAAAATGGCAGTGTGGTTGCTGGAGACTGTACAGGGGTGGTTGCAATCTAAACTTGCCACCAGTGATTGAACTGAGAAATCTGTGTTGTGCCAACAGGGCAGAGAAATGAGTGCCATGGATGTCAGACACAGATGCAATGCTGGAGGTGAGCGTGCCCCTAGCATATCCCATCTGCAGGGACAGCACAGTTCAGTGACACAGACTCCCTCCTGACAATGGGAATCTCTGGGTTTCTTGCTCTGCCACATGCTGTGCCCCTTGGAAAAAAGCCCAAAAACTTTCTCGTACTTTGGTGAGCCTTCTCTTTAAATGGAGATCTTAGTGGGAGGCTCTGTATCCTACTATTGTGGCAAAACCAAATTTGAATTGATTTTCCCCAGCTGCCACTGATAACAAAAAGCCTGATACTACTAACAGTCATAAAATTCTTGTGCATATGCCCCTCAAACAAATGCAACAAGTGACACTCTGGTAGTAGAATCATATGTCACCTCCTCTTTTGAGAGCAAAACTACGTGACATAGACTTTCAATCAAACACCAAAACTACCAAATTATAAACAGATATAGTTGTAAAGATCTATTTACCTATTCTCAACCTAGGGATTAATTTATTAAAATCTTTAGCTACCTTTGTACTGTTCTAAAATGTAGCATTATTGTACTATTACATGTTTATGAGTATTCCTGAAACAGAAACGGGACTTACTCAGCAAGGCTACTGATCATGAACTTTGACTCTGCACTAAATAAAGACGATGCAGTTTCAAGTTTTCTCCTTGTGTTTTGGATATTACGAACCCACTGAATATTACAGTGTCACAAGAAGGTTCTCAACAGTTAATTCCTATTCAGGAATAAAATCCTCTTTTTTCATATTTTGATGAATTTTCTCCAACATCTAAACTGTATAAACCACAGAAAGGAGTGACTGAAAAATAGTAATAATAGCTGCCCGACACTTTCTCATTCCACCACCTCAATAACACTGCTACAAACAAAACCTCCACACACAATAAAAGTTATTACTAACTATTTCCATCAACAAAGCCAAAACAATCTCTCCATCAGCATTTGCCCAGCACCGAGAATGTGCTCTCTAGCACATGCCAGTCACCTTCTGTGACAACTCCACCTTTGACCCTTTCAGCCAGCACAAGCAAAGAAAGATGCACATTCAGTACAGTGAGAGCTGGGTGTAAGAAAGGGGGATAAATCCCAGCTTTTGGTGATGAACCAAAGGAGCTGATTCACAACTCCACAACATTGTGCTGGCTATGGGGATGATACTAACTACTCATCTTCAAGTGCTCCTTTGAAAGAGAGGTTGGTAGAGAAGCTAGAGATGCAAGACGTGTGCTTGTGGAGGCTTGAGGACACAGGCCAGCTCATTTTAACACAGAATCAAAATCACAGAATCACCTAGGTTGGGAAAGACCTCTGAGATCATCGAGTCCAATCTAAACACAATGATATGCTTGGTTTTGCTGTTTCAAACACACTTAAACTGCTCTTTAAGACCTGTGTGTGCTCCTCTCTCAGCATTCAAAAATATTTATATTCCGGATGTGAATCACCTTGTACAGAACAGTAGCTGAGACAGTGTGCTTAAGTGATCAAAGCACCTTACAGAGTTGTACTACCAGCACTGACAAACAGACCTGTTTTACAAACACTGTGATTTATAATCTCAGCGAGGTGACATGTTTTCCTCCTCCTGTCCCAGGTTGGATACCGAAGTGGTACATGCTGACACTTACCTAGGAAGCCCTCTTCATCCACAATGATGGTGTAGTCCTCGGGGGTTTCCGTGAGGCTGAAGAACTTGCACCTGGCAAAGGTAAACAGTAGGAAAACATGATTAGATGCTGGACTGAGCAGAGCCTGGTCTTTCACCTAAAATGGAGGTCCTTTCCCATCCAAGCTGTGGTGGAGGAAAGAGTCAAGGTCTGGTGTTTATGGAGAGGCCTGAGGCATTAACAGACCTGGATTTTATTCCTGGCTAACTCACACTGTGTGACCCACGTTCCCTGCTGCCTGCCTATGCACAATGGAGCTGGTAAAACTCTTACTATTTTTTATTACTTAGTTCTTAGTTACTTTTCTCTAATTGCCATATCCCTTAAGGCTTTCCATCACAGCCAGGACCTGCTGTGTTGCACTGACACAGAGCAAAAAGCTTTGCTCACTGATTGATCACTCCAGCACCCTCGAAAAGCCTTCCCATGGTTCATGCATGCGACTGTTTTTCCTATCTGTCCACTAAAATTTCTTGCCTTATCAAGATTTGACATCCAATCTCTCAACCAAGCCCCAGCATCTCTTCTTATTGCTTCAGAGGCTGTTTCCACAAGCAGATAGCACCCCAACTTCCTATGCTGGGGTGCTCCAGGTAAAGAGCCATGGTAGCAGCAATCAAGTCCATGGACACAAGGCTGAGCTTCCCCCACCTTGATCCCCTATTGCTTCTGTTCTGCTCCATGCTCATCTTCTGACACTACAGGTCATGTGCAGCATAGCATTCCCAGCTTGTTCAGCACTGAGCACCATGTCACCTCTAACAGGAGATAAAAACCAAATATGACATGGGATTCTTCCACTGAAGACACAAACAGAAAAAGGCTCAGCCTTAAGGTTTAACACCACATATAGTCAAAAAGGATTTTTTCCCCTGACACACCAACATATGTACAGCAACATCTACTGAAAAAAAAAAATCAGCTTCTATCCAGTTGGTCCCCAGTAATGGCAGGAAGGTTAGCACAGCATTTTTCAAGCTCAGGTTCACCTTCAGCAGAGCATCAGCACCGTGCTGGGCAGCAACCTATGCAGGGCTCCCAGCCTCTCCAGAAGCATGCCAGAGCACAAGAACTGTTTTTGCTGCCCAAGCCACAGGAGAAATTTTTCCCTCTAGGAAGCTAAATTGGCTGCAACATGAAGAGCCTGTGTCTCTAAGAATCAAAGAGCAGGATTTCACAGTTACACTATAATACTGTCCAATTTATCTGAGGCAACCTACAGAAAATATTTTAAATACTTGAAAAACAAATATTGTTCTCAAGACCCCCAAATTTCACAGCATGTTCATAGTATAATTTCTGCATGAAGCACAGTTCAGCAGCATTCATCAGCCAGGGACTACCAGGGCTTCTCAGCACTGCTGAGCATCTGTGTTTTAAAGTGTTCAGGACTTTTGAAAGCCTGGAACCCCATGCTGGTGGTTCAAGACATCAAAAGATCAAAGCATTTACTTGATTAAAGGATCAGAATAACACCTGGTTGCAGCATTCTTCTGACTGGCTGAAAAGAACAAACATAGCAGCTATCCCCTCCAAAAGCAACAGGGAGAAAAATGAGATGGATACTGCCCTCCCCATCATCTCATCAGAAAACCAAGAAGAAGCAACACACAGTTCAATTAGTGATCTGCCACGTAACCAGCACGATTCCATATACATGGAAAGTATCAGACAACCTGCCTTTAGAGACTCATCCTGTTTCCCTGGAAGCATCCATCATGACAATCAAGTATGACACTCTTCCTCCTAGCACAGACATATCACTATAAAATACAGACGTGGCCCCACCACAGGAGAAACCACAACTTAATTATTTTGTGTCATCGGTAATAGCTGCTGTGACGGCCACATTTACCAACTCAAGTCTCTCTAGGAACAGTGCCAAGAAAAGCAGAAAATAGCAGCAGCCCAAATTTTTACTCTCACTTCTTAACTGCACAAGGCTGCTACCTGTGCAAGGGGTGATCCAAGCTGGATAAAACCTGGATTTTCTACCTCCAGGTGAGTCCCAGGAGGTAGAAGTATTTGTTATTTAGTGGATGAATTCCCTGGGAAAGTCAATGAAATTAAAGTCTTTGCTACCACTACCGGACCGAGCCACATGCACACTGACCAGGGAAAAGCTCGTGGTCTTAAAGGAGAAAACACTAATAAAAAACACCTAATCTTGCCTGACCTGTGATGGCATTTACGGAAGAATTTTGAACCAGAACAGTAATAAATGTCTGTGTGCACCGTTGACACCAGCAGAAAAAGTATGATTGTGACAGATGCTAGTTTCTGAGCACATATCTAAGGGATATGTACAGATGAGATCCCATAATTGCTGGCTCAGAATGCATGTCAAAGCCTCATTATCTTCACGTACCATCTTAAAGCCCAATCCCCCACTCTGTGCAGTTCTGTAAAAGGTCAGTACCACAGACCATCTGAATTTAAAAGCAAAGTCTTTCACCAGCACAGAGAAGACCAGTGGTTCTTGGGCTTTATATTCACTTTGTTCAAGCCAATGATGCGGTTTTTTTTCCCAAGGGAAATCTAAACATGAAAAACTGGAATTGTAAATCTTGTGTGACAAAACAGAAGGAACTCAATGTCATATCTCTCTCCTTATATAACACATGCCTCTTCCATTCAAGTTATTTCAATAATTTCTCTTTCCTCTTAAACCAGTCCTTGATAAGCTGAATGCCAATAGCATCTTCTATTATCACACCAAAGCCAAGAAAGGAAAAGAACTGCCCTTTAATCATTTTGAGACATCAGGCAAACAGTATTTCTCTAAGTACGTGTGGAAAGCATATATGCAGGAAGACGTATTTCTAGTTTCAGCCAAACCTCAGGTGGATTATTTTGGATTCCTGCCTCCTTAAAGTTTCAGTACATTTCCACTTCAGCACTGTTGCTGACTTCGACTCCCTAACAACATATGCCTTTTTCTGGCAATGCCACAAATGTAGATCAATCTATAATTAAATTAGATCTTTGAAACTGCAAAGCCTACACTGTGTATGGAAGCAATACCCATGCTTGCACAGAGCAGGAAATCGCCTGTAGGATGCAGCAGCAGCATCGCGTCAGTTTGCAAACAGTACTCCAGTCTCTGTGGGAGAACAGAGCAGGAAAGCAGAGTGGTTGGTCGTGCTTGCAGGTCCACACCACAAGTGTCTCCTCCAGCCGTTCGGTCTTCGAGAGTTGGTGAGATCACAAGAGTGACAATACTGGGATGAACATGATTTTCATTGGTTCTGGGTCACACGCAGACCACAAGTTTGTGGGAATACTGCTGTGCATAATTTGAAAGTTCAGCACAGACAATAGTCTTTAAGGAAGACCACAAGTCTTACCTTCTTATTTATATGGAAACTACTTAGTTAATTCTTGTCTCAGGAGGGTAAAGTGTTGCAAAGCTGTCTGTACTGTGGAAAACATCTGTTCCAGAAGCAGGTGGGTGGCTGGTCTCCTCAAACATAGGAAACCATGCCCAAATGTCATTCAAGGCAGTTAAATGTCTGGAGGTAACACAGAAGTTTGCAAAGAAACAGTTGAACTGAATGGGAATTAAAAAGAAGGAGCAGCAAGTTCATCTGTGTGAATATGAAAAATGTAATTTATTGGGGTTTATTCCAGGCTGTACGCTTTGGTATGGTATTATGACAATATATATTCTTAGTGGGGGCCCCCTGGTGGTCTAGAGGTTAGGATGCGGCGCTCTCACCACCGTGGCCCGGGTTCGATTCCCGGTCAGGGGACCTCCCCGGGCAGATGGAGCTCGTCAGCCCTGTAAGGCCATCCATCTAAGAGAAGGTCACTCCAAACAAACCTACGTCCTGAGGACCTCGCTGCCACCGTCCGAGCTCGCTCGGCCCCGGCAGATGAACCTCAGGATTAAAGGGTGGGCTCAGTTCAGCGCACACTGTGTCTCACCTAAAAAATCCACTGCGCAGGCTGGAAGATTCCCAAATCTTCGTTCGTGAAGACTGGCCATGACGATGATATATTCTTAGTAGAGAAAAAGTCTCATGCTAATCATCTAATTCTTGGTGATCTTTGTGGTTTATAAATAATGACAAGGGGTGGATTCTAGTACATCATCTTTGGAAATGTATTTAGGAAAGGAGTAAAGGACACTCGTGCTGTTAATGTGATCCCAAGTAACATGCCATAGGACAAGAGGAAACAGCCTCAAATAGCACCAGGGGAGATTTACATTGGGTATTAGGGAAAACTTTTTCATCAAAAGGGTTGTCAGGCATTGGAACAGGCTGCCCAGGGAGGTGGTGGAGTCATTGGCCCTGGAGGTATTTAAAAGACATGTAGATGTGGCACTTAGGGACATGGTTTAGTGCGGCCTTGGCATTGCTGGGAGAATGGCTGGATTGGATCTCAAGGGTCTTTTCCAACTGTCCTGACGTGATGTACTTGTATAGCCAATTTCTCTACCTGAGCAGCGATGTCTTGCCACAGCTCAGCAGCCCAGATGGGTTTCTGTCTGTGCTGCCAATTGGCCTTTTTCCATTGGTCCAGTCACCCCCCCAGAGCATTTGCCACCATCCACAAGTCAGTGCAGAGGTAGAGCACTGGCCATTTCTCTTGTTCAGTGGTATCTAAAGCCAGCTGGATGACCTTCAGCTCTGCAACCTGACTTGATCCACCTTGTCCATCAGGAGCTTCTGCAACTCACCACCATAGGACTCCATACAACAGCTTTCCATTTTCAGTGTGTCCCTACAATACGGCAGGAACCAACGGTGAACAGTGTGTGTCACCTTTCATTTTCTGGAAGCTGATTATATGGTGGGGCCTTCACAGCACATGTCACCTGATCCTCCTCTGGTAATAATCTGAAATTTTCAACTTTGGGCCAGCTTGTGATGATCTCCAAGATTTCTGGGAAGTTGGGGTTTCTTAGCTGAGTTCGCTGCGTGATCAGAGCGATCCACTTACTCTACGTGGATCATGTGGAAGGGGCTTTCCCTTTGAACATCCAGCCCAGCACTGGCAGTCAGGGTGCCAGAAGGAGCTGTGCTTT